CTTGGGAAGTTTGCTAAGCACTCAAGAAGCTAGAGTCGCTCTCGGCTATCGCCTCAAGCGACTCTTACGCTTCTTTTGTGCTTAGGAACCTCCCGCGTGCATCCATAACTCAATAGTGTACGCTGTGGTGTTTACCATTTGTTAATTGTCCTATAGGGAAAGAAAAGAAGGATGTAACAGAGATAAAGGTAAAAAAAACCCTGACCTGTTGTTGCTTGAGACACATCCTTGAGAGGAACTATAAATGCTGGCTTTTCATCAACTTCAAAACAGAGAGATGAACCTGAAACATTTCATAGGATCTTTAGTTACAGTACAAATGAACCAGATCAGAGTCAGTCTTATCATCAATGTAAATATTTCAAACAAAAGAAGTGGTATGTGTATTACTGTTCTTGCACTTCCCAAGCATTAAGACAGCTCGTGTATAGCTACTCTCCCTGGAGGAGAAATCTACTTGACAAGTCACTCTTAATATTCTGTGAAATTTCCTTTACAGTTGACTGGTTTATAATTTTACTTCTAAGAGGAAAGAGGTACTGGGACAGACAACCATCTTGCCCAGTAACACATTGTAATATATTGAGTACCCTGTAGGTCATAATTGTTGTGTATGTACCCAGAGTGCATTTCAGTAATAAAGTTGTGCTGAAGTGGCCATGTTGTTGTGACCTCGTGGCTCTGTTTAGCCTAATATAATAGCAATATACTACACACATCACAATGGCAACAATAAGGAAGGTGTTGATGCACACCTCACCACACTGACTCTAATCCCACAAAGTGGTCACCCATTTCAAGACACAGAAAAAAACAATGACATTTTTTATGAATACCAGTATGTGTTACACTAACAAAAACAACAACTACAAACAAAGTCAGAGCATTACCATGTAGATTACAAATGACCTAGGAAACAAATTTACACCAAGAGATTCCTCTAACCTTGGAATTTAGCAGTGCCCCAGTTCCAGCCCTTGACAGATAATTCAATTTCTTCCAGATCCTTTTCAAAATTTTCCTTAATGAATGATGCTAGTTGGTCATAATCCTACAAAAAAGATACTGAAGTGAAAAAATTATTTTCACTCTAGTTAATTTCAACCAAAAGAATTGTCAATGTTTGAAAACATGTACTAAAACTCAGCAACTAGAAGGGCATTGTTCGAGTTGAATATCACTTCAAAACATCTTCAAAGTCACATGAAGAAAAGCTCACATGTCCTTGGAAAGTAATTTAAATCCACTTCAAGAAGACAAAATCTCATACTTGTGTTGGAGTACAAATTATTGTTTTCAATAACAGCAACAGATGTTTCATCACCTGCACTTAATTAAGCCAAGAATATTGACATGTGTTATGTTATGTTGAACTCAGATAAGAAATGATGCTCTAAAGTTACCCTCATTTTCACTGCACCCTCACTGTACCATGAAGATTTAAAATATTTCTATTCCCATAGAGAAATCTAAGTGTTCAATAATATTTCCTTAATGCTAGCAACTACTAGTTTTCATCCTCTCTCATATGTAGATAAAGACTTACTGCCTCTTTGAAACCTTCAAACTTGAACTGCACTTCATTTGTTAAAGTGACATTCAGTTCGAAACCACGAGCGACTCTCAACCAACTAGTTGATTCGATATCAGCCACTGAGGCTTGGTCTATTTTCCCTGTTTTGTTTGCTTTGAATATCACTCCACCTTTGTGTAACTTTAACCTCCCGTCATTCTGTGAACAAGGTAAGCACACAAGAGATCTATAACGACATAAGCCACTTTCACCCTTCTGTGATTAAAGTAGATCTTCAAATTATTCACTCAATAAGTCAAGAGCTTACCTCTATTTATATGCAAAAAAAATTGGATTGTGTGGTCTAATTGTTTGAGTAAGTTTAGTCTTGAAGAGATAATTTGGATATATCAGCAAAGTTGAAATGGTAAATTGGCCACTGTAACCATTACAACAGCTGACGAAGGGCTAACGCTTGAAACATCAGCTTTTGTAATCGTTGCGGTGGCCAATTTACCATCATTTTCAACTTTGTTGATATATCCAAATTATTTCGTTACCCCCACTGACACAGCCCCAAACAGTTTCTTTAATAACTATCAGCCTTTATTCATTAGTCTTGAGGAGGATTGTTGTCAGTAGGAAAGAGTGGCATGGTATTGATAAAAAATATATAGCCCAAATGCAGTGGCCAAAACTTTGCATTGAATCATTCAAAGAGTTTCGGAGTCAACTTGGATTGAACCCAAGAGTAACAATAGATTGTTCAATTTGCTAGATAGTGTTATTCTGGTATGACAACAAATTCCCTTTAGTGCCGAGAATTACCTATCAAGCGTTGAATGTTACAAACTTCAAGTATCTTATTGGCCCTTGAACTGCAGGGATTGGTACGTACCAGAAGAACCTAGTTAATATACGAAACAGCTATTTGTCTGGAAGTATCTTGTTTATTTGCAATCATAGAAGCCTTTAAGAACCAAGTGAATCTTCAAAGAGCGCTGCATGGACTATTGTTCGATATATCAGACCGAGGGGAAGCTTAGTACTAGCGAGAGCTGCAGCCGTGAGCGAAGCTCGCTAGTTGCTTCCGGTTACCAAATCATCCCAGTCGAATGATTAAGAAACCTTCAAAATGCGTAAGAAATAGAACCCATATAACATCGTGTACAAGGTAAGGAATTTTTTTTCAAAAAAGCTGAGTTTGCGAACGCATTTAGCGGTAAGATTAAATGCCTTACCCTGTCGAGAGATTAAAAGCATTTATTTTTCCAGACTGCCCTTTCTACGATCTCCACGTGATTAAGAGTTTGTGCTATAATAACTTACCAGTGCTCCTCTTACAAGAAGGTAAATATCATTGAACTCCAAACCATCGGTGGCCATTTTTTATTCTTATAGCCAGGCTGTAGTTTTTACTGCCTCTGTTCCCGCGCGTTTCCAAAATGGCGGACAAGATGGCAGAGCGAGAAATGAACCTAGTTCTGTGATTGGCTCTCAGCGTGTATCGTTCCCGCGATAATTTTTTTGTCGTGTTACGGGATTGCACGGGTCAAAGGGACAGGATTTCTTATTTACAAATTGCTGAGAAATGATTCTGTGTGATTCTAGCCTGGGAATATATCAGGGGAGCAGAAGTAGCTGCAGGCATGGTAGAAGAAAGAAAGAATGTCCACAAAAGTTTGATAAAGTTTCCTAGATTTGCTAAGGATTTCCACTGATGCCCAAAATTATCTTAGCAGACTCTAAAATACCACCAGGATACTGATCAGACAAAAAGTGATGCATCAAGGCATTGATTATGACAAATCTATAATGCATTCACTTTTGAGCAACAGGAGGAAGTCTCCAAATTTCTTTTCATACATACATACATACATACATACATACATACATAAACTTTATTTCCATTCGGATTTATGAATAGCACTAGATGTGCTAGTATCTCCAAACATATAACTACAAAACAAATGACAATAAGTTTAAAATCGAAAGACTCATATAAAACCTCATTTAAAAATGCTAATAATTATATACTAATCCCCACTAGATATGTAACTCCCAATGGCACGTTTAAAAGCCGCTAGAGGGTCTGAAATTCTTAATTCATCTGATCAGCTATTCCATGGAGAGGCAGCACGATACTTGAAAGAGTGAAGTCCAAAAGTTGTAGTCTTCACCACTGGTATCTGTAATTTCCTTTTACCCCTTAAATCATATGCACTTTGACTGCGCTCTTTGAGAAGAGATGTGATACACCCAGTAGCCATGTTGTAAAGGCCTTTGTAAACCATAGTTAATATGGCTAATATTTCAGGATGCATGATCCTCTGAACTCTGCTTACTGTCTTTCTCGTTATTTTTATTTTTTGCATTGGCTGCAGTAACTTTGTAGCGCTACCTTAACTTTCTCAAGGTTTCCCAAATCAAGCAATTATTTATAAAATCCACAATATTTTGTAGCCATCATGCAATTTTTTTTGAGCAACCATTACACACAGAAAGTATGTCAAATGAAAGCCAGTCTTATCAATAATGTGAGAAAATGATTCACTTTTATCAATAATTGCTGGACTTTGTCTAATAACATCAAAGGTCTTGGTTGCATTCACAGTTCTTCATGTTTAGCTTCCTGCCGAGGCCACCATTCCAAAAGGTTGCTGACAGCCTCCCAGTTGACAACATTCCAAAATGTCTGTATATATGCTGACCTGCGATTCTGGTGCTTCAGATAATAAGCATGTTCCCAAACATCAATGACCAGGATGGGCATTAAACCTTTCTTGTTTAACGGACTGTCTTGATTTTTTGTTGCACTGATTTTGAGCCTGGCTTCTTCAACATCAAGACACAACCATGCATACCCTGATCCAAACAAGTTCCTGGCAGCCTTTTCAAAAGCCGCTTGAAAGTTGGTGTAACTCCCAAATGATTCATCTATCATCTGAGCCACCTTGCCAGAAGGCCTTCGTTCTTCATTGTTAGGATTCGGAGACATGATTGCCCAGTAAAGAGCATGGTTCACATAACTACCAAGACAAAAAAAAACAATGTTTGCATTAATTGAGCCTAGTAACTACTATGGCACTGGGGCTTATGCCAGTATCTAAAGCCTGAAGCGATTAAGACCATTTCTACTCCCACTAGATGAGATAACAGTTAATGACAAGTTACTCCCCCAGCATTACTATTCAGTATGTCAGGTTTCCATGGCATTGTGATGGTGAAGTGTCTTGCCCAAGAACACAATGCATTGACCCCATCAGGTCGCGAACTCTGACCTCTTGAACTAGAGTCAAGCATACTAACCAATGGCCAATTAAATAATATTACTGGTTAATAAATAAAACTATTTCAACTTCTTCATAGAAACACACCACCATTACATTTGCATGAGAGCTATTTATCAGAGAAAAAGAACAGGCATTTTTTGAACAGTTGGCATTAGTTTAGCAAATATCTATCTGAACAAACTAGAACTCTTTGAGGACTCAAGTGAGGTGCGGTTAATTTTTTTTGTGTGTGGTGGTTTTTTTTTTTTGGTGTGTGTAGTATTTGTTTCAAACACATCTTCTTTCCTTCTAAATGCCTTTGTAAGGCATCGCATTTCAAAATTGAAAGAAGAACACCCAGAATTCATTATGGAAATGATTGAGAGCTTTTACTTAGATGAACTGGTGACTAGTGAAGAGAGTAAGGGAAAGTCTTTGCCTTGTGTAAGACATCTCAAAATAGGCTAACACTTGGTTGTTTTAAACTGTGAAAGTAGATGACTAAAGACATGGTGTTGAGAAGGTTTACTGACAGATCTGAAAACCACAAAAAAATTTATTCAAACCAAAACTGATTTGTGACAAATAATTTCTTGATTTATAGGGTAATTGTTTAGATTTCCATAATCTCTTGCACAAGAGTTGTAAAACAGTTGTATGTGATAATGCATTTAAGAGTTAACTCACCCTCCACCATTATTTCTTATTGCCAGCTGCCACTGATCAGGTATGAGGTCAAGATTGTTTAGAATTGTCACAAGAGGTTTTGTAGACAATTGCCTGGTGTTTCCCTGAAAGATATTTGATGTACAAATAAAAGTTATTGTAGCAATTCCTTGGAAACAACTCCTAACAATGTATGTATATCTACTCTATTTAACTTTAATGGCTGTGGTGAAATAATTCGACCATCTTATCCTTTTCGAGGGGTTGTACCCTTCACTCACCCCCACTCCCCTTTACCCTCGCTCCTATCCATTATGCCGATTTGCACTCGATGTCAGTATTTTAGAAAAACACCCAACAGTTTCTCAAACTCCTCTAGTTCCAAAGATTTCAGTACAGAATTTAGTAACTTTGTGATCTGTCCCCTTGGTACTGACCGATTCTCTCCAGCTCTTCAAGGCTATATTTAGCTTTTCCGTGTAAGCTGCATGGTGACCCCTGTGATGTACTCTCAAAGTCGCTTCATCAATATAAGGTTCCAAACCATCATAGCTGTACGGCAGCTCTGGAAGAGCGTATCCCTCTTTATATTGTATAATTTCTTCGTAAGGTGTTGTGCATTTGATGCAGACAAAGCGAAGAAAAACAAAAACAAAGAAAGATGCAATACTATAGATGGAAGCCATATTTAGCTGCACGACCCAATCCCGCGCGGTATGAACGTCATTCGACTGGGTTTGAAATATTCTAAATGAATAAAGGCTGATAGTTTCGAAAGAAACTGTTTGGGGCTGCGTCGGTGGGAGTAACGAAATAATTTGGATATATCAACAAAGTTGAAGTGGTAAATTGGCCACCGTAACGATTACAAAAGTTGACGTTTCGAGCGTTAGCCCTCGTCGGAGCGACGAAGGGCTAAGGCTCGAAACGTCAGCTTTTGTACTCGTTACGGTGGCCAGGGCTAACGCTCGAAACGTCAACTTTTGTAATCGTTACGGTGGCCAATTTACCACTTCAACTTTGTTGATATATCCAAATTATTCTGAAATATTCTGTTCGCTATTGGAAATATTCAACTGGACTAACTGGACTAAAACTTTGGGAGCCAACGGAACCAACGGGATTTTCAAAAAAAAGAAACTTCGCCTTTTCAGTCTCAGTTCAGGGGATTGCTGAGTGTAGAGGATCTTTCACCTAGTTATTCTTGGATTCCCCATTTTAAACACGAATTAAAAAATGGTGTAACAACAACAACAACAACAACGACACATTTTATTTAAGCTCATGATAAGAAAATAACAATGCTTGGGCCCGCAAGTAGCTACGGCTATTCGAGGCGGGCACAAGAGAGGAAAATAAAAAAAAAAGACTGAGAATTCTACAGAAAATGAATATTTATATGTATAATTATAATACTAGACGAACAATCCTAAAAGAAATTTAGTTTGCCGTGTGGCTTATAGACAGATTGAGACAGGAGGGCAGACTGCAGTAAATACTGGAAGTACATACAGTTATAATTTGAGAATTGTACTCTAATTTCAGCAATTCCTATATAATCATCCTCTTTTGTTCAGAATTTCAAAGAGCTTTTCCTTTATTGCGCTTTTAAATTGATTTTTTTTTTTAAGTGTTTTGATAGGAAGTGGAATACTGTACCAGATCAAGGTGCCAGAAATAGAGACGGCTCTCTTCATATTTTCAGTTCTAACTTGTTCAACATAATAATTTTCATTGGTAACAGATCTAGTCTGGTAACTGTGGACAGAAGCCAGCTTTGTGAACATATTCTTAATGTTATCAGGAAACAGATTATTGTGGACATCGTACATTAAAAGGCTCATTTTTATATACTGCTTTTATCCCAACTTCACACACGACCCACGCTGTCAACTCCAAATTTTGATGCCGACGCAACTCACAAACTTAAAAAAATCTCCATATTTTCATGGTTTTAAACCAAATTTCTCGCAGAACTTTTCGTACATTAAACTTAAGAATAGACAAGAAATAACTTGTAGGTAGGCTAGACAATAGAAAGCTAAGCTATCCGTGGTATTTTGTTCTCCATTTTTGATGAAACCTCTTGCTAACGCATGACCTTACTCAGTCTCGGAGCATTTTTTTTTTTAAGAGCGTTCCCTTATTTCAAGCTAGCACGCTAACATCAACTAAGCTTTTATTTCCCTCTTTCACGTTCTCTTTGGTCAAGAGAACAAAAGAAATATAACAAAGCAACTTGTTTCCTTTTTAGCGTTTTTGTATGTTCATGAACAATAACGAAAACAAAAGATCGCGAGAGACGAAAGATGATTACCCAGCATCCTTTGCAACTCTCAGTAAATAACAACAAGTAAGAATATATCTTTTTGCACCAAGTACTTGGACGGATGTTTCGCTTTGAACAGATGGCTAACGCAACCATTTAAGCGTAAACATCCCATGTTAAAGCTGTGTGATAGACATTAACTCTTAAAAACAGGTGAAAAAGTTGATTTTGTTGCAGTTCAACTCTAATTCAATGCGCAATGTTGTTGTTTCATTCGTAGATGGGCGAATTATAAAGTTAGTTCCACAATCGTTTGAAATCTTCCAGGTACAAATAGCTTATCCTGCTCGCTACAGAAGCTGTAATGAAAGTTTTATGATGCAGATTTGAATATTCTATCTACTTACTATGGAGGAAGAAGAAGATCCGCAATGGTAAGATGTTTCCTTGCCGTCTCAAAGACATCGATGGAAAATAATTATTTTGTGACTCGCAAACAATACAACAATATACTATGTGCAATGCTGTTTACACGTGTGAGCAACTATTTCATCCAGATTTTGTTTCTGTTTCAGGATCTACATGTTTGCCGACACTTCAAGAGTTCTCACCATCGTTATATCCATTTTACTCATCGTATACGGCAGTTTTAGGTAAGCCTACTTCGCGATTTTATGTAGTTTTGACGATCGAGGTCCGCGTATGATTGTGGATTTTTACCCGAGTGTGCGTGACAACAACGATGTCATAAAAGTTGATGCCACCAAAACTTGTACGATCCTGAATTGAGAGATCCAACAATTGGATCGGTGATCGACACTAGTGTCATAGCTCTAACCTAGATTTTTGCCTATGGAAAGGTAAACTTCGAGACTGAAATGCTACTTCTTTTCAAGTACATCATTTGCATGCTAAAATGTCCTTGCTAGCAATTTCTGACTCACTCATTGCAAGTAGGGTTTAAAATAGTTGATTCTTATAGAGATCTCTTGATTTCAAGTTATGACTTTCCTGTTTCGGTGCCCTAGTAGGATGTCCTTCGATAACTTACTTAAAGAAAAATTCTGTCGTGCAGAAATTCTTTGTTGTGTTGATCAATTTTGAGAAGTTTAAAATGCTAATAGTTCGCATTCTTTAAAAGTACTAACCCATATGCGTCCTAGCTTGGCTTGGATAACGGGAGAAAAAGCTGTTTGATAAATATTACAATATTAACTGCGAACTTCTTTCTGTTTTTTTTTTTTTCTTTTTTAAGTATTTTAAAAAAATTGACTTAGTGATTTAAATTTTTTTTTGTGTCATTGGTAACTACGTTGTTGGATATTACTCATTAAGATTTTTTAACCTGGGAAAGTAAAGTTCCCCCATAATTATATTCTTTTATATGTTTACTGAATGGGATTACACCTTTGAGTGGTGTCTGATAGAACCAAAAAAAAAATCCTTTAAAAACATATTTGTACAATATTTAAAAGGTTAATTAAATAAAATTGAAAGCCATTCAGTGATTGTCACATTTTATGAATCATTAAAATCAATTTTTTTTTAAATTTAGCAACACAATTTGTATTGACATTTTGGAGACCAGCTCTTTAAAATGATCTTGCTTTATAGTTTGGTCTAAATATGTTTTGAGTCTACACAATTAATGCATTTATCATTGACAAATCCTTATAAACTACCTTTTTGATAGGATACAAAGAAAACCCTAAATTTTTCCCACTGAGATATCTAATTAGGATCAAATGATGCTGCCTAAAGGTTGATTATACAGCAAATATAACCTCTATGTAATTTAATTCTTCAGAATTGATTTTGTCAGAGAAAATTAAAGATCAAACTGCACGTTATCAGATTTAAATAATACAATTAGTTTTGCAATTAGTTTTGCAAAGTCTGGCTATAGAAGATTATCTAAACCTGCAGAATTTAGTACTGTAATCATTTCCTGTGAATTTTTTAAGTGACATCTTAGATTTTGAGCCATGACATTAAGAACAAGAAGAAATCATTCCAGCAAACTAGGTTGTTGTTGCCTGTCAGAAGAAATGAAGATTTCAAGCTATTACTTGGTGTAAAGGACACAGCTGATGTAAAAGAATAGAGAACAAAAAGACGACAGAACAAGGAAAACTAAAAAAAAAAAATGACAGTCCAGGGCCTGACACCAATTGTAGCCCACTAGCTACAGACTAGTAGAAATTCAGTTTTGGCAAGGGTTTTTCGATTTTCACCAGCCAGTTTGGCTAAAACATAAACTGAAATTGTCGTGAAATCTAAGATGTCACTAGCCAATTAGCTAGTAAGTTGAAAAGTTAGTGTCAAGCCTTGGACAGTGTTCTGTTCTGACATGTCCTTTGTCTTCTACACCAAGATGGAGCCATATTTTCTAAATGATGTATTGCCCTTATCACAGTGCTTCACATTTATGTAAGAGCTGTGGCCAGCATTGTTTCCAGATTAACCTTCAATTACTATCAAAAGGCTTAACACAGGCTTACCTCTTCAGGCATTTAAATCTCAAAATATAATAGCTAAGTAACTTGTCATGAATTACATAGTTTTACAAGTCCTCTACTTGGGTCCACCTGAATTTTGAAAGTTAGCTGGCTAAAACAGTCACTAATTTTTAGCGAACGATTGTGTTTTCCTTTTCATGATCTACAGCATAACTATGGCACATGGTTAGCCTTACTGTAAGTCTTCAAAAAAAAAAAAAAAACTCTCCAGATCTTTCACTATTGATACTTGAAGAAAAGGCAGTGTAATCGATCACTAAATGCAGGATAGGTGTTTCTCTATACACACCCTAGCATCAGTATGCATATTCTCCAAACTGTTCACTATATGTTTCCTAGGAGCTTAGGAGAATTTTCATAAAATATACAAACTTCTTTATTTGGCAATCATTTGGAGAAATTAGATGCTAGTCACTCTAAAGGGTAATTAAAGGGTTAATTTAACTCCCTGGTGAGCCTAAATTGAGTAAGCATTAACTGGTATTTAATTTAACAATTCAACTCCCAGTAGTGATCAACATATAACTTCTCCCTATAAGATCTATACATGATCCAGCAAATAAGTAATGAGAATACTCAAACCTATCATACTGAAGTTGTCATCTTGATCTAACACCAAATTCTGCTCACTAATTTACAAGGAAATGTGTAGCATTTAGAAGAGAGAATTAACAGTTAGATCTTGGAAGTTGAAGGGTTTGAAGCAAATACGTCCGCTGGTCAGCACCTCCTGAATGTTACATGTGACATGTACCTCATCTAAACTATCACAAAGTAACCTCTGAATGTCTTTATCTCTTCTGTTGTGACAGGGCTTTAGGTTTGGATAAAGCATATAGTAACTCAGAAGATCCAGAAGACGAACAGTCAAACCAGAATGATACACCTTTCTCAAGACTTATGGATGGTATGAATCATAAAGTGTAACATTGTACCATAATCAGTCCAATCCCAACCATTGAAAAAGTCTGGTTCTGTCCTCGTGTACTGGTTCACAAGAGCCAATACAAAAGACCAAACAATACGCAATAGCTAACCGATGACTCCTAAACAAAGAAAGAACAATGGTAATTCCCTTGTGAACCAGTACACCAGGACAGAACCAAAAGTCTCTTTATGGTTGAGGAAGCAAACTTTTAAGATCCACTAAAACCATGGAACATAATTATATGTCTATCAATTTGAAGCTTCAATCACAACTACCCACAACATTGATTTCCTTCTTAGGACTAACCTTACTCAAATGATCAGACTGTGTTTCCAGGCTCTAGAGGTTCAGTGCAGTAAATGTTTGGCCCCCATGTTGGACAGGTGAAGGTTTGGGGACAAGTGACAAAATGAGGGGGAGGGGGGAAGGGGAGAAAAACCTGGTTATACTTCCTCTTGCTTTGTCACTTGTCAGAAATCTTCCACTCGTCCAATATAATGAGATAATATTTGCCGCACTAAATCTTGTGCTTGAAAACACAAATTGCCGCATGTAAGCAGGCTAACTACATGCTCAGATGAGGAGTTAGGTCACTTGTTTTACGTTCTTTTTCCTTTCATTTTCAGGTTTCCAGACTATCAATACAGCCCAAGCTGTATTCCTTCCAGTTGGGGCCTCCTTCTCTCTTCTCGTGATGTTTTTCTTTTTTGATACCCTCCAGTTTTTCTTTGCACTGTGCACAGCTGGTGAGTAAAAACTTTATGATGCTGAAGCACAGACATTCTTTAGATTAAAGTATAGCAACCAGTGTTACTGTAGCAGTAACTAGTTTAAGATTATGCTATTTTTTAGTTACTTTTCTCTTTAGTATTTAAAAATAAGACGTCAAATACCTTTCTGGTCAACCAAATGGAACCTACCATAAAATCCATCTTCTTCCCATTTTCACTTCTGTCAACTATAATCAACAGAAAAGGCTTGGTTTATAAATTTACTTTAAACTTAGTGTTTCAGGCAAAAGACCTGCAGCGAGCACCACAAAAATATTAGCTTTGGTTGCCTTCTTTGTCTCAAAAATGTTTATGCCTTTGGTCTCTGTGGAATTTGGCCTCTGGTGTACATTATATTTCATCTCAGCTGTATTTGTCTGAGAGATTCTAAGAATTTTTACACAAAAACTGTAGAAATGTGCAGATATCAAAATTGTTAAACTGGTGCAAAAAAGAGTAATTCAAGCAACAGATCACTTAAAATAGAGGTAGTATGGAAACATCGATCTGTCTGGTGGATGAAACAAACTAATTAAGAGAAAAACATCCAAAAGTGATCCATACTTTAAGTAGTTTCTGTGGAGAGAAAAATAACAGCCCTGGAGGGTCAGCTCTGGAATACAGGATACTGACTTAAAAGGTGGTGGCTGTATTAATAATTGGACTTTGCCAGTGTCAAGCACAGAGCGCCAAATTGTATTTAACTTTCAAAATCATAAGTTGGAGTGAGACTGATTGATTTGAACCGTTTATACCCTAACCTCAGTAAATGTATGCAAATTCTCCCTTACTGCCATCTAGACCTATCCTACGATGCTTATCATTCCTCGGAAGAAAAGGATTATAAACTAACAACATGCATGTGTGATTACTTTTCAGTGCTAGCTATGGTGGCTTTTTCGTTTGTGCTTTTACCTGTTTGTCAGTTTCTTACCAAACCCTGCTTCACAAACAATAATCAAAAGTGAGTATTGAACTTTATGCCTTATGCACATCCTCCATGCTTTTCTCTATACATTTATTACCTTGTAAATACCTTTACCGATGCAGGGCCACAGTTCCTTTAGAAACCTCCCCTCTTCATTCATTTTAAATCTTCATTGATCTAGCAAGATCATTTTCTGAAAATTACCATAGCCCAGTGCTCAAACCTGAACCATGATTGGTATCCAGTACAAGAATATCTTTGAAGCTAACTTTTTCTTGCAACAAGCTGAAAATAACACTGACAGTTCCACACCTTTTAGTTTGTATGCTGATAAATCTAAATTTTATTGCAGGCTCTACATTGGTTTCTGTGGAAGATTCACACCAGCAGAGGTTATGTCTCTTGTGTGTTCTGGTGTGTTAGTTATGGTTTGGATCGTCACAGGACACTGGGTGTTAATGGATGGTATGTTTTCTTAGACTAAGACCTACCAACTGTCCAGATTTAAGTGCAACAAAGTAGAAAATTTGCCATCAGTTTAACATGTAGACTGCATGTTGCTGCACATCTGTTCGATAATATTTCATGGGTGACAACAAATTGTGGTAAAAACTACAATGCGGCATACTAGGTACAGCAAATTGTGGTAAAAACTACAATGCAGTATACTAGGTACAGCAAATTGTGGTAAAAACTACAATGCGGCATACAAGGTACAGCTGCCAACTGTCTTGTTACAAATCCTTTAACCATGATCATGATGATGACTTTGATATTTTACCATTAATAAACCACTATCAATGATAATTATTGTTATTATTAAATATTTTATTTTTTAATTTATTATTTACTGTATTTATATCCCTATATTATAAAGCAGTTTACCTGACTTTATACTTTCAATTTACAGTACCTAGTGGTAATTTTTTTTTTTGAAGAATTACTCGGCTATAAGCTGAACCCCCTCAGTCTTGTTAAAGTTTGACTAGTTGTCAGTGCATATTTGTGCAAAAATGACTCAGTTTATTGAAATACTAGAACAGTGTAGTGCACAATGGTACAGAATTATGTTTTAGTACGAGTGTATGTCATTTCTTTTGCCTTCAGAATGAGATTGCTAGAGCTAATAAGTATATTTTGTTTTCTCCGTTTTTCTTTTTCAGCATTAGCCATGGGTCTATGTGTTTCCATGATTGCCTATATACGTTTACCAAGCCTCAAAGTGTCAACACTTCTATTAATAGGTCTATTAATTTATGATGTATTTTGGGTAAGTTAATGCCAAGCAATGATAATACCTGAAGTGTTTTTGTTGAATTAAACCTGCTAATTAACCCTCGAACTCCTAAAATCTGATTGTTAATTCTCCCCTCTTACTGCTCCAAATTTCCTTGCAAATTATAGTTACAAGAATTTGGTGTTAGATCAAGATAGAAACTTCCACCTGATTAGTTTTTTACTGAAGGATATAACATGGAAATGTTACATGTTAATCGCTCTTGGGAATTTAATTTTAATTTAAGTTAATTTATTTAAAGTTAATTTTAGGGCACTCTGAGGATAATCAATTGTATTAATGAAATGTAATGTTTAATTTTAAGTTGTGTTGAATGGTAAAGGATGATAATAAGGTAACAAACTAATAATAAAAGGTTGTGCAAATTTTAATATTGCAGGTTTTCTTTTCAAGTTACATATTTAAAGCAAATGTTATGGTTCAAGTAGCCACACAGCAAGCTGCTAACCCTGTAAGTACACAGTACAGGCAGAGGTTTCAGAAACCTCATGTCTTCAGATTGTAGTTGCCAAATGATATGTGCATAAGATCTTTATACCCTTTATGCTGTACCTTTCTTTTGTGTCTTTTTGCAGGTCTCTATAATGGCAAATAAATTGAAAATGAATCCAGTGGGAAATATCTCCCCGCAAATCTCTCTTCCAGGAAAATTAGTTTTTCCAAGGTGAGTTTTGTAAAGCACTGGTTTTTCACAGTTACACATACTTTTTGTGTAACTCTTGCCCCTGAGATTTAGTTATCAATTCTCAGCACAGCTATTGGGCACAATGGCTGTGCTGGGACAAAATTTTTGAATACCTGATTGGTGAAATCTTCTCAAACTGACGGAAGTTTTGAGTTATTTTGATTGGTACACAGGGGAAAGGGAGCTCTCTCTCTCAGCCTCACTGTACATTGCCAAAGGCCACCCATATCTGGTTAAAAGCTGATTATGTGTTTATTTTGTTATCTTACTTAAATTTGAATACATTTCATACAGTATGTGTATTGCTACCTCATTGACAATTTTTAAAGTTAATTTTTTTTTTGTTAGTATGCAAGACAGAAGCAGATTCTCTATGCTGGGACTTGGAGATATAGTAAGTAAAAATTATATGATTTTTTTTTCTGAGGAATGGTCTGGAATTGAAATAGATCATAATATTGTGACCCGTGGATAGAGGATAGAGCGCCGAATTGTGTTGTGCGTGAGGTCGAGGGTTCGAGTCCCGGCCGGACCAACACTCAGGGTCTTAAAATAATTGAGAAGAATTTGCTACCTTTCTATAACATCAAGAAATGGTTAGATATTCTAGTCTTCTCGGATAAGGATGAATAAATGGAGGTCCCGTCTCCTGCAGGATTGGGGGTAGGAGACGTTAATTTCCCACGCACGAGATTACTGTGTGATGGATGTCCTCCCCTGGGGTGGGATGGGTGGGTTTACTGGGCCCGCAGTGATTGGCGCAAGCTGTTGCGGTGTCCTGCCTGTCGGCGAATCTTATAAATTGTAAATCATAAATCAAGTAACAAACTGATCCTAACAGGAACTACAGTTGAAACTTTACCAAAAAAAAACTGAGGAAAGAAATCTTTATGGGTGGACTGCAATTTTAGGTATTGCAGAAAAAAAGTCTGAAAAAATTTAGACTTTATTGGAACCCAACTACCTCCAGTTGGAGGCTACAATCAACTGAGCTAAGAAGTCACACATTGAGATCAGAGCAAAACCTTAAGAAAAAAACTTGAAGCTTTGCCGGAATGCAACCCATGGCACCCAGATAGTAGATAAGTACTGATACTAAATGAGCCAGCGAGCCAGGAGGCAAATTGTAGTTTTTTTATCCTCTAAAAGAATTAACTAGCATATGGTATCTTTGAAAAAAAAGACATTCTGAACTGTGAATAATAACTAACAACAAACTGATCCTACTTTATCATTTATTATTTACAACAGGTTATGCCAGGACTTCTCCTGTGTTTTGTTATGAGATATGATATGCACAAGAAGCAGGCGGCTGTTGCAGCAGACACAGAACAAGCTAGAGTAACATATTTTCATTGCTCTTTAATTGGATATATTGTAGGTAAGTTTTGGGAGAGCTCAGTGGCTCTGTTAGCTAGTGCCCTCAAAATATCTTGTAAAGGAATCTTTTGAAGGCTCCCAAATGGCTGGTTGCACTTACGCTGTTTTAACCCTTTTTATCTTATTATCAGTTTGCATATTCTCCATACTGTTCTCTATACATTTCCTAAACTGATGATAAGGAGAATGTCTACAACTGAATCAAGAGCGTCTTTAGTTTCTGATCATGACTTTAATTCTCGTTACCCAAATGTTTGATTCAAGGGTGACATTGTTAGGAGAAATTCGATGCGAATCACTCGTTGGGTCAAAGGTTTGACCAGATTATAAAACGGCAGGACCTTTCGATAATTAAACTAAAAGTTTACTCGAGAACTTTCTGTGGGTAGCTAACAGTGCTCTCGTAAAGAATTGTAGATAGCCTGTAGATTTGTAAAAAGTGGATTCAATGATACAGTAGAAACCTGTGGCACTTTTGCAAGCACATTTGTTATTGACATGTTAGGAACCAAATCAACATCGTGTTGGTTGCCCATAGCAAAATTCCTGAGCAGATGATTGATGGATTGTTTGTTCCTGTTGTCAAACAGGTTTAGTAACGGCTACTGTGGCATCTGAGGTATACAAAGCGGCCCAACCCGCGCTTCTTTACCTAGTACCGTTCACACTTCTACCAATTCTAGTCATGGCTTATCTAAAGGTATTTGTAATTTAAATCAGTTACCTTTATTTGTTATACCCGGTAGAAGTCCCCTTAAAGAAAAACTTTGTGTGAGCAAGGAAAAAAAAGTAATGTTTACTTATTTTCAGTCATTTTGGAGCAGTTCTTTATTGACCTTCTAAATCCAAAACCAAAGAATTCACAACAGCCAATCATAGCAAAGGTGTGCGTCATCAAACCACCAAAAGCGAGGGAAGATGCGGGCGACCAAGTCACGATTGTTTTCGTTTAGCGTCTGATTGGTTTAGAGATGGCGCGAGTTAATTAACTGCCTACTCTTAAGCGACTACAGAATGTTAACTCGGTAAGACAGAAAAGCACCTAAGAACAATATTTAAAACGAGTAGGAGAAAGGATGGCTGAGGATGGAGATGATTGTCAGGGATTGCGAATGATGATTCTGAAAACCTAAGGCTTACTATTTCAAGCCACACAAAGAGTAACAATTGCGCTGCAGGACGTGCGTTTCACAGTCCGCGAGAAGATTTGAGACGAGTCAGGGAGATGTTTGCTAGGGGTTTGGCACTACGCATTATCAGTACCAGACCCCTTGCAGACTTTTCGCGCGCTTGCGTTGCCTCCTACTTCCCGCTCGTATTTAGAAGAGTCTGTGGAACACTCATTTCAAACAGGATTACATGCTTCTGGCAAAAAATGTTGTTTGTTGTTTAATTTTCTTTTTTCCCTCTGCAGGGCGACCTACGGAAAATGTGGCAAGATCCCTTTGTAGCTGCTAGTGCGAAATTTAAATTCATGGAAGTATAACACATGTCAAAACCAGGACTGAACATTCAATACAGCAAAACAAAGCCTTTAAAAGGGGCAACACGAATCAAGTACCGCTATCCCACGGGTAGAGCGCTTTTCCATCGAGTGTCGTAAAACCAAGACCTAAGTAATCACACCGGCCAATCAGAAGAAAGGAAAACCCCTGCTTAAAGCGCGGGAAAATGCGGGCCACCAAGTCGGTGACTGGATTTACTTTTGCTTCTGATTGGTTGAGAGAGTGGCATGAGTTTTTCTGGACCAATCACAAAACAAAGCAATTCCTAATTTCTTTCGACGCTCAATTGAAAATTGCGCTTTTCTTCCCGTTTCTAATTTGCTTATGATACGATGGTCGTTTGATGTGAGTAAAATTTGAAGGCGTTAGCTAAAAGGTGGGCTAAAAAATGGAAAAAGCAAATGGACAAAAAAAATTTGCGAAGTAAGCAGTAATAGTAATTTGGAACATTTATATGGCACTTTCTATTAGAAGGTATTTACTACTGAGACTACCAAATCGAAAGTCTTGCTTTGTATAGAATAGAACTCTCTTTTAGGGAACACCTTTGGGTGTTGAAAAACTCCCATAGGAAAACCTCGCAAAGTGTTCCAAAATGTATCACAAGGTGAACAGAACAAAGGAATGATTGAAACCTGTAAACATGAGTCTTGTCCTTGTTCTCCGAGAGATTATAAGGAATGATCTGCAATGGCGTAGTGCGTAGTATTTATTCATTGCGTTATTCCCTGTTTTTAAATTGCTAAATTTGATTGGCTAAATTGCGGAGAAAGGACGTTGCGCTCGTGTTATTAAGAAATGTGTGTTGGGAAGAAAACACCAACGATTTACCTGAAAATGACCGCTTAGAATCGATCCCCTCGCATGTGTCCGGCGTTTGACCGACGCGTTTTTGTGCGCGGATATGGAGGGAAGGCTTCTTCTTTGCAGACAATAGTATATGTGAAGGATTTATATATTGTATTTGGAAAAGATATATCCTGTAGGCATTACGAAGTGTTGTGAATTAAGGAAACATAGATTGTTTTGAATAGACATAGTGTATGAATTTCAGGCGTTCTTAACTTTTAATTTACTTGTTGTTTCACGATGTTTGCGACTGCCGTTGGCTTATAATAGGCCCCTTTACAGCCAAATAATTTGGATATATCAACAAAGTTGAAATAGTAAATTGGCTACCGTAACGATTGCAAAAACTGACGTTTCGAGCGTTAGCCCTTCGACGAAGGGCTAACGCTCGAAACGTCAGCTTTTGCAATCGTTACGGTAGCCAATTTACCATTTCAACTTTGTTGATATATCCAAATTGTTTCGTTACCCCCACCGACGCAGCCCCAAACAGTTTCTTTAGAAACTATCAGCCTTTACTCTTTACAGCCATCTCGGCTCAGTATCCGTATCTGAGCAATTACGCACCCACCCCTCCCCTAACTCAGCTCAGTTAACTGATAACTGGTTAGGATGGATTCATGTTGAGTTAGGAGAGGGGAGGGTGCGCAGATACTTTGACACTGATCCGTCGCGTCTAAGCCTGCTTGTTCTAGGTTGTTTTTCGTAATGCTTACCAACAATAGTATCACGTGACGAGGACCGTTTTGTGACCATCTCAAATAACAGCAACCTCGTTCCCAAGGTCTCTCATCTTCCCTCCCACCTGGAGCGCCCTCTCTTCTCGCTCCAGGAGGGCGGGGAGATGAGCGATGCTGGGTACGAGGTTAAAACAACGGCTGGAAGACGTAAATTTGAAAGTCCCCCTGTAAATGGATAGGCTTGGTATATTTATTATGTGAGAAGCTTCAGCGTGAGGTGTTTCAATAGGTAATGAACAGGGGGATAATTCGATTAGTTAAGTTAATATTAAATGCTTTTATTAATATTGCTATGTCAAGTGCAGATTAAACAAAGAGTAAATATAGGATGATTTTATTATTCAGAGACTGGATTTGTTTTGTAGTGAAATCTTTTTTTCCTCACTCGAGATACCAACTGATTCCCTCATGATTCTTTGTCTACATTTGTTGTGTCTCTGACCAAAGTCACTTTCGGTGAGAGAATAAAATCCGTAATCCTTTATCGCCTAAAACGGAGGCACAGAGGGCGGCGGGAGGATTTTGATCGTGTCAAGATAAAATTTACCCAATCCCCGCTAAGGCTAGGTGGTCTCCCCTTTACAATGTGTTACCTCTGACAACTCCCAGCCCTTCACTCCCCCTAAAAACCATGTGATACTACGATCCCCCCCTCCCCCCCTGACGTTAGATACTGACTGGTTCCAACTTCTATGTGTCTCTTTGATTCGTTGTCTCTCGACATAAGGTTTTGTGGCGAGAGACTAGAACCCATAGAGTGAGACTCGCTTGGTTGCTTGAGACATAGAACAGCGATAATTTTTTTAGAGAGAATTGGAAAGCATATTAAAACAACAACCACAGCAGTAACAGCAAATCGTAGACACTACATGGGACAACCTTCACTTTTTTAATCTACTCTTTATTCTTTCAAATTTCAATAGCCAAAAAAATTTCTCTATTTTATTTAGCAATAATTTCCGTAAAATCCTCCACAGTACAAAATATTAACAGCGTAAAAAACCATCCAAAATAACTCACTTTCGGCTCACATCTACTCCTTTTTTTGTAGCCAAAAAAATGCTTATAAACATTTTACCTGAAATTTTGACAGTGAACTCCTGTTTCATCAAAACTGGCCTACAACACATTTTTTCTGTGAGAAGAATTATAAAGGTACCACTAAGGTCACAACCAAGAGCTTTATTTTCGGCTTGAATTTAAAGAGGCCATTGATCTAGTGTTTCAAGTGGAAATCTCATCAACCTGTGAGAGACCAGAGAAAACAGGATGAGAGTTATGAACACATCGATCAGGAACCTATGCAATTTGGACACCAAAGTCTTACCGCACTAGGTTAGTATACGGTCTCCAGTTAAGAAGAGACGGTCTAGAGTACCGAGAACTTTGCAGTACTTTGATGATTATTTTCATTCCCTGCCTTATAATTTCTCCGGAAATACAGACGCAGCTAGCATTGTTTACAATGATCTGAGCCCTCCAATCAGAACACTTTCATCCGTCGACCAGTAGCTTGCATTGGATCTATGCAATAACAATAAAGGTAGAGCTGTATGGTTGCCTTGGTAATGTAGAGCTCCTGAAAAGTTTGTGAATTCTTAACCAGATACAATGAATATATGAAGTTCATATATTTTGAACTGCGGTTGTAGATACGTATGATGCACGATCCTCGCAGTAGAGAGCGCTATTTATGCAATAGCGAAAATCAGACCTGAAAAAATAAAAAGGCCTGTACGGGATTCGAACAGGCCTGATTTTTTTCAGGTCTGATTTTCGCTATTGCATAAATAGCGCTCTCTACTACGAGGATCGTGCATCATATGAATTCTTAACCTTGCCAATGACCAATGAAAGCTTAAGGGGGCAATGTTATGCTGTGACAGTATCAAAGGTGCTCATATGGTACTATAAACACAAAATCGATGATAATAGAAGAAATAAATTATTAACTGCCGACGGAAAATTCTTGAGACATGCTTGACCTTCACTACAAATAAGAAACGTTATATCCCTCATCATTAATGCCGGGACGTAAAAAAATATTTATTATTCCAATTGGATAAGCAGTAAATTCTTGTTTTGTTCGGTCTGCATTTTTCTTTCGCAAACAAAAAATATAGCAATGTGCAGGAGTTTGTTTTACAACAATATAACTGCTAGAACCTCGGAGATGTTTTAAGCTAACACCAACAAATCTTTACCTTTGATTTAGCGGTTACGATCCTCAGTATTCGTTTTTGTTCCTTACCACCTCAAAACGTAGCTTAACAGCGAATTGGGTACGGCAACTCTTCACAAAGGTTTAGCCTGTGAATAGGGCCTATAGCAGAGGCTGAAAATAAAACAGGAGTGGCTTTGCTTCGGAGTGGCTTTGCTTCGGAGTGGCTTCGGCGTGGCTTCGCCTCGCTCTCGCCGTGGTCGCTTGCATTGTTGCCTCCGTCCCTCGTCTTCATTGGGAGATAAGGAGGAGTGAAAAGCGTAGCAGTGCTACTGCTCCTCTTTATGATAAGGCATCAAAGTTGATCACACAGAATGAGTGACAGGCTTGTTTTCGGGTACAGATTTCATCATCCAAACCATTATGAGACAAAAGGACTCAGTTAACCGTGAATTTAATTTATTCTGGCGTGATATCTTTGTACAGCATGACATTGATTTTTTTAATTAATAAATTATACTTCCGACTATCATAGCTTAAACCCTCATTGTGCGACTGAACATTCTTACTAGTGATAATATCAAACTGCGAGATTTCTTGGATAAGGAGTAAAATATTGTTTGTTCGGTCTGCAGTTTTCTTTTGCAACAAAAAAAAATATAAGAATGTGCAGTAGTTCGTTTTGCACTGCGAGAACTTCGGAGATGTTTTAAGCTGACACCTCCTGGTTTCATTTCCAAAATTTAAAACAAACAAATTTTTACCTTTAATTTAGCGGTTACGATCCACAAGCGGACCGGTTTGTCAAGAATGATTTGGCATGGATTCCACCGTCACAAAACCTTCCTCATAAGTCCGTGAATCTAAATGCAAAGACAAGAAAGATTCATAAACTTTTCCAGCCATTTTTCCTTGCTAGTTGGTTACCATGAGATAAAAATGGGAATGAAAGCGTATTACCTGAGGTAAGTTTTTGAGAAGTGCTATACTTGAGCAGTTATTTATACTAGTGGGTTGTGTTTCTCATTCTTAAATATTATCACGCAGACTTTCGTATCTAAGATCATTTGTTGGAATGTTTTTATCACTCTTTTGGTTCAATCGCAGTAATTTGTATCTGAGTATAAGATCGCGCTCTTTACTACTTCAAAATGTAGGTTCCCTTCGAATTAGGAACTCTTTCGTCGCAAAGAACCTAGTCCGGCTGTGAATTAGGTCTCTATACCTGGCGGCTATGTTTCCTTTCTCAATTTCAAACACCCGAGGTAGTCGCTCAAGGTAGTTACGGCCTAGAATGAAAAGCGGTGAAATCTTCTGCGGTAACGGAATTAAATTAAAACAAAAATTATTACATGCGTGAATAAAACAGAAGAAGAATTGAGAGAATCATTAGCTTGACCAATCGACGATTGCTTCCCTTTTATGCCCATTCATGTGTTTTTGCGATCTTGGAAGATCGTGTGTACACTGGTTTTTTTTTCCATCTTGAGGTTGTCACCTATTTGTAGAAGTTTCTTCAGTCATTTGAGTGCTGATTTATCCGTGAATATGAAATAGGAATTTTGTCCATGAGATGTCGTCTGCGGCACGTACTTAATAAGCAGCCATTTTGAATTCTTGTCTTCGCATTGTAAACCACGTGGTCCCCAAAGCTAGAAAGGCATTGGTGCAACCTATTACTTACCTATTCTGTGTATGAGCAGCACAGAATAGGCAGTATTTATGCGGGCGAAAGTGTTAAAGAAATCAAAAATAGACGCAAAAAGGTCACAATGGTACGTCATGATAGAGTTTTTCGAGTAACAAGCTAGTTTTCAACTAATGATGGATCAGCTGAAACTAAAATATTCGGTAATTCTTTCATAACGGGAAAGGCGTTATTTATATCTTTTATGAAAAGAACACGAAGAAAAACGACTGCCAAATTGAACAGCATAGTCAACATCGCCGATATCACAAACTGTTAAGCTGTAAACCTCTAAATTTTATCCACAGTCGTCAAACGAGCCACTAAGTAGTCGGAACAATGGAACAAACACAGAAAGGTGAGGCATCATTTTCAAACTATATATTCCTTCAGCATCGGTATAATTATCATTTCGCGATCCTTCCCAGCTTGAATCTTTTCTATCTCGTCTTATTACACCGAGATATTACCCAGTTATCTTTTAAATATCGAGAGTCAATATCGCAAAGAAGAGGCATCACCTTTTTTTCTCGACATTTACCCTACTCGTATGCGAGCCGCCATCTTGGATTTTGGCCCTTTGGTTAAGGCGGTTTCTAAGTTTCCAAAATCGCTTTCCAATCTCTGCTCAGATTGAAGATCAGCGAAATGACTTTTTGACTCGAAAAAAAAATTATCAATCCAAACTTAAGGGCAAAGTTGAAAAACATAACTCATTCAAAACTATCATTTCAACTGTCCGGTTACTTCTTTGACCAAAATTTCGCCTCTATTACGCCTCGATGACCACCATCGTGGTATACGTGAAGACCAATGGAATTATTATCGGTACATTCGGCGAGTAATAACGAATAAACAGCGACAATTTCGAACTGAGGTCGAAAATCTTCGATTTCCGAAAAGATTGTGACATCATATGGTTATTAAATTTGATAACGACCCGGACTGGTGATATCATTTGTACAACTGAAGGGTGCCATCTGCTGAAGGAAATATCTTTTGCACAACACAATGTGAAAGTATTACCGCTTCACCTGATTCAAAAGAATGCAGCATTCCCTCAAGCTGAAAGATGAACTGAACTTTTCGTTAACTTGGCCTGATGGCGAGTGTTCCATGAACGAGAATTAAATTGGACTTAGACTTAGGAGTTGGAGAACTCGTCGAAGAAGGTAATCTAATAGGCGAGGACCTTATAAAAGAGAAATCCTTTTATACATTGAATGGTCGTTATTGCGCCATGTAAACACAAACAATGTTCAAAACAAATTTTCAGATTTTCGAGAGATCATGCTAGCGTCTCAGATACAGCTCATTTTAGCAGGCGAGATTAAAGTGGATTCATCATAACTTCATTAAAATTTACATCCCGAGATGCTCAATTGATCGCAGTACTAGAGCCAGGGCTCTAGGGAGGCATAATAGGTTTCGTATCCTCATCCCTACGCTACAAGAGGCTGAAATTTAACAAGAAGGACAAGAAATTTGAACCTATTACTTTTGGAGTTAGTTGTCGGTTATCCCTGATAACCATTCATCTCTAATGCATTCGACTGACAGCAACTATCCACTTGACTTTGATGAGTGACTTGTGCCTTGGTTGAGCAAACGTCAGTCACTATTACCGACAACAGTCCTCCTTAGGACTACGCTCACTGACCCAAATGATCAGACTACACCATCACATTACCCCAATTTACTGTAGTTTTATGTGTTTGATGTGGTTTTTAGTTTTAGTATGCTGTCTGCTGAAAGGAGTGGAATTCCGGAAAGTGTCTCTAACGTGCAGGTAAGCCAACTTCACCAGCGAAAAATCATTTGTGAAAAGCAATCAGTTGTGCAGAATTCTTCGACCGAAATCTATTTTCATTGTCAAGGTTTCAACAAAGTAATAATTTAGGCTAAATTTTTTTAAAACCCGTGCTTTAACAATAAAATATCAAGGTCCATTTCAGCTTAAACTGAGTAAAAAAGCGGGATGCCGCTTTGAACGTATAACTTAAGTGGAAGGTCAAAAAACCTGGTTACTAGTGCATATTTTGCATGTATAGTTGCATATTTCATATATTTCATACATTTACTTTCAGAATCAGGATGATGGAGGCTTTGGCCAGAGTTCTACGTAAGTCCCTCTTACACTTATTTAACCCGTAACTGCAAATTATCAGGTAAATTAATATACGCAATGGCAAAAAAGATCAGAATGAAAAACATGGAATAAACGAAAAAAGAAACGCTATTATAGATAAATGTTTCAATTTTGGTTTTTCTCCTTTCTCCATCTATCCCTTCATGTTCTTTTCTTTCAGAGAAAGGGAGATGGAGATACAGGTTCTCGAAGAGATTGTAAGAATTAGACAATACATATTGCAGGTTGGTAAGGAAACATAACTCAGAAACATGACTTGGTCTTTAGACTGATTAAAAAAAACACATTTTTTACATCAAACCCTCACCAGTGGTTATGAATTAGAAAGGAAATTATGATGACAACAACATCGCTGTGAATTCTCCAATCACTCCTTTGTTAGAAATTAAAAATTTCTAACACTGGACAGGGTCAACCTAAAGGCCCATCTTCAAGAGCTCAACCAATCAAAGCTCTGAGAAGATGAATTGATTCGTACCACACTTTAGTAGAAGTTAATCTGCTAGCCAGTGTAACTTTCACGAGCAGACCATGATTGTTTCTTTTCTAGTGCTACCCCTCAGATATCTGAGCTAAATTTAAACGTGATCCTACACTTTCTCGCCATAATATTCTCACTCTACCACAAGAAAACCTTACCAATACACAAAATCAATTCTAAACTCGCAACAAATCAGTTCGCAACACATTCCCGACTGATTACTGTCAAGTAATTACCTTGTCTCTCTCCACTCTGTCTCTCTCTTTCTTTGCAGTGAGGACCTGGAAGGTCATGAAAAAGATGTCAGCCGATACCTTCGATGAAGAAGAACTAAAGAAATTTCCGAATTGATAATTTAAATAATAATAATAATAATAATAATAGTAATAATAATAATATTAATAATAATAATAATAATAGTAATAATAATGATAATAGTAGTAATAATAATAATAATATGGTTTAGTTCCAGTGATAAGGCGTACGGCAGTGTTTTGAATTATTTGAAGTTTATCCAGTTCCTGTTATGGGAGACCAAGAGGATGCTATTGCCGCAACAGTAGTCCAGACGTGATGTTACCGGTGCATTTACTAACAGTTTGATATTTTCCTTGGTGATGTATTTACTAATACGACCTATGGACCTGACGGCGTTCGTAGCATTCTTTCATTTCTCGTTTATGTGCTATGTCATTGATAGGTTTTAATCTAACTTAACACCAAGATCACGAACTCTCTCACTTAGCTCGATGACGGTATTAGCAGAAGAGAGCCTCTCGATTTTACGTGTCTTGGTGAATCAGGATGTAAATAGCATAACGTACGTCTTCTAAGCATTGCTTCTTAGCATGTTTTGCGTGTTTCATTGTGTTAAATCCTCTATACAATTTCGGAGAGCAGGCAGAGCCTTATTTGCAAGATCAATAGTTATATATAGTTGAGTATTATCTGCCTAAAATAAATAATTCAAGTTATGGCGAGCAATTACATCTTGAAGGGGGGCGATATACAGGGTGANAACAAAATGAGATAAAGCAAGAAGGCCACATAATGTTGTGGAGGAATAAAATTAAAGCAAAATTATTTACTAGGAACGCATTTCACATCTCTTTGATTTTCCATAATTCAAATGAGGAGAGCCAAATTATCTAGCTAATTTTTTTTGTTGTTAGTTGTATATGATTCATGTCAGGAAAATGCCTTTGATTGAACTTGGTATAAAGGAATAACCGTAAAAGAATGCACTACAAACTTATGAAATAAACCTCTCTCTTGTTCGATTTTATTCAACTTAAAGGATTCGAAAATGTTCACCTCGGAAAAATGGCGAAACACTTAAAGAATTCGAAATATTCACCTCGGAAAAAATGGCGAAACACTTTTGAGCATGTATTTGATGACAAATATTCTTAAGAGATCTTTCAATGTACAGGATATGGCGATGGTAGAAAGACTCATTCTTCGAAAATTTAGACAAATTCGTCGCGTTCTCGAACGCGATTGGAGGGCAACCGAGGGAAGGCCTTTTAACCAAAATACTAGGCCCGTACAGTTATATTGAAATCACAATTAACTACATGGCACGTGGTGGAAAAACTGAAAATGAAAAATTTGATTACTAAATAAACATACTAGCAGAACAGAAGGAGAATGACAACGAAAATAGCACTGAAAATAACGATGACTTACGCTGTCCAACTTCCAGGAGAAGAAGAAAGTTGTAGTTCAGAGTAAATCAAAATCACAGTCACACGAACAATCACGTCTAAAACACAACCACAGTCATGGACGCGCCTCTAAAAAACGCCCTTACATTCCTATCTGTTATCCTCCCCCCCATAAACACAGTCTCTTTTAAAGTCCATATCACACTGATCGAGTAAGACTTGCATTTGCGATAGCAGGCACTACCACAAACAAGAGACCTCACCACGTTAGCGGCGGCGGTTGATTCGATAACACTGTGCGAAGCTTCTTTAAATCTGTATTACGAAGTGCGTTAACTTCAGAACATACAATCTGCAGTTTCATTAAATAGTGAAAATTCTGAATGTTTCTCCAATCTTGAGCCAAAAACTTAGCTATCACGGTATGAAGTAAAGATCCTATTAATAATAATAATAATAATAATAATAATAATAATGATAATAATGATAATAATATACCGTTTATTTGCCACATTGCAGAGTTAACTGAATTAAAGGGCTAAATTTACAATCAATAATTGATTAAAACTACAGTTACTATAGGAACAATAAAAATATCATAATTAACTTTTTACATGTTTGCATATTCACTATTGAAAGAGATAAAAGAAACCTGAACGCTGGTTCTGGCAACGACTTCTATCAGCGTAAAGAATACTTCTGTTGTTGTCGCCGGATCGCAGGTTGTAACTATGGCCACTCGTTGCTGTTCTCGGTATAAGAAAGTTAATGGGGTGGGATTTTCTTAGACACCTTCCGAACATATTTACAGCAGAGCTGAGTTCGTCTTTCTTTCAGGCTGACAAGGTTAGTAATATTAAGAGCGTCTAAATAACTATAGCGTGGATAGATAATATGTAGAGCCCTCTCTTGAATTGATTCCAGCTTATTAGAAAGAAATTCAAGAATATCATGCCAGGCTTGCACGCCGTATTCTAATATAGGTCTTATTGTTGTCAGGTAAACCTTAAGAATTCCACCTCTATTAACACCAACTATTTTTAGAATCCTTAAGGAATACAGGCGCTTCGAGGCTTTTTTCGAAATGTGATCAATATGCTCACTCCACTTTAAATCATTGCTGATAATAATACCGAGTAATTTATAAGTTGTCACATGTTCAACTGTGTTGTTACCTAGGACAATTAATCTTGTAGTAAAATTATCATTTTGCATGAAGTTAATTAACATTTCTTTACACTTTTTCGGATTTAATTTCATATTGTGTTCTATGGAAAACTTGTGGATGTCATTGGCAGCTACATTTAGTAAGCTAATACCACTCCTTGGTAAAAATTTCCAATGCCGTGGTATCATCAACGAATTTCATTCTCAAATGCCAGTCACGCAGAAGATTGTTGGTCATCACAGCGAACAAAATCACACCCAGTTTCGTCCCTTGCGGGATACCTCCCGTGGGTGATTTCCAATCAGACAGAGAATTCCCAATCCTTACAGCTTGCTATTTCTCAGTCAAGGAGACCCTAATCCAGTTAATTAACACAGTATCTATATCAAAAAATGCCAACTCCCTGAGAAGAATGGAATGATCAATCAAGTCAAAGCCCTTTGAGTAATCAGCAAAGAACATTCTAACTCCACAGTTCCGGCTATCTGTTGCCTCGTGTATCGCTGTAGGATATAAATCAAGGCGTCCGTGATGGAGTGCTCCTCCCTTGCGTACTGGCGTGGGTCAGGTTTTTCCGAGATTTTCGCTACAAGTCTGCTGCGCACAAACCCTTCTATGACTTTGGCAAGGGTGCAGGTCAGGGAGATAGGTCTCAAATCCATTTGGATTTCTTGTGGCGGGGAAACCTTGGGCAGGGGGTTGATTATCGATTGCTTCAGCAGATCAGGTACATAGCCCTCCCTGAGTGAGCAGTTACAAATGTCCATAATTAGCGGGGGGAGTTCAGGTGCGAATTCTTTTAAGACCCTGTTAGGTATCATGTCAGGGCCAATTGCTTTCCCGATATTCAGGCTTGATAAAGAGTCCTGCACCTCCCTGACACTCACTAGAAGGCCGGGGGGACCTATTAATAAAGATCTATTCACCCAGTTCGCTTCTCCATTTTACTATCAACTTAATCTAGTTTATTAGATCAATATCTCTGAGAAATTTGAGATAACGCACCATTAATTACCTTCGCTATCCATGCAGGTTGGTTTTTTGATCATTTATGAGGCAGCGTGGGCCTTAAATGGGTTACATAGTTATGATGCCTTTCGGCAAAAATCTTCCACAATCGGTGTGTGGACATTTTTTAGAGTTACACACGACTTTCACGTAGCGGGTTAAGTAACGATCTCGTGATATTCCTACTGTAAAATGGAACTCGAATATGAACGTCTAAGAGTCGCCATCCATCGTTCCCTTTAGTTTTAATCCAGTACGAAGCTCGTTGAAAACTGCTTCGAAGAAGAAGCTTGGTCAATATATATGATAAAATAAATAAACTTCATCGGCACCTCTAAACAATTAAGTAATGCCTTCGAATATCGTGTTTTTTTCCTCTTTGAGAGACTGTTACACGAATTTTACCACAAGACCTACAATGTGGATTCATCGTTTTCTATATCCAGACTTAGGAGATTGGGGAGAACATTTTTAGGAGGAAAGGAATTAAACTTTAAGTGTGTTTTGCAACCTTAGACTTGACCTGACGAAATAAACAATTGTATGTTCGGCAGAGTATATAGACGAGTTCGCCATATTGTCACTTAAATGTCCTAAACCGCCATTGAATTGTTTGAAAAAAAGATGAAGTAGATAGCAGCCGACTGATGTCTGACTACCACCTTTCGCCAAATTTATAGCAATCTCCCGCCTCATATTATGTAACTACGCCGCATAAAATGCAATGTTACGTAACTATCGACGCTTTAGTTGAAAAAGTGTGCTACTTGTAGATCCTGCTACAAGAATTTACCGGCTCTCAACCCACGTTATGTAACTACGCAGCATATTATGCAATGTTATGCAACTATCGACGCTTTAGTTGAAAAAGTGTGCTACCTGTAAATACTACTATAAGAATTTACCGCGTCTCAACCCACGTTATGTCACTACGCAGTATATAACACGTGAACCTAACTGATGTCTAACCTGCACCTTTCGCGTTACGTAACTACGCAGTATATGTAACAGGTGAAGCTCACTGATGTCTAACCTGTACCTTTCGCCAGATTTATAGTACCACAAACGTGATCATTTAAGCAGAAAAAACGCAATTGATTTCTTTTCTGGGTACCGAACATTGGGCGCAACTTAAAACTACTGGAAATGCACTGCACCCACCTTAGCTCAAGGTCAATCTCAAATTCGTGCATGACAGATTTCCGTTAATAGTACAGCTGTAATCCAGTTTAGAATCAATTCCTCTTTCATCTTTTGTCTGGGCTCCGCATGGTCTTATCGGTATCGCACAGTCAGATAAATTCTATTTTGGTCTCTTAATTTGGGTGCAATATGCGCAACCTAAACCTAATGGAAATGCA